TACATTCTCCTGTTTATTGATGGGGAGCGCCACCTGCTGAAAACTGGGTCCAGCGTCTCATGAACATCGTGAATAAAGCACACCAACCGGGACCCCCCACACACAGTCTCTTCGAATTGTGTATAGCGAACATGACAAAACATACATACAACATAATCACTACCTTACCCTTCTCGAACCACATAAACAAACGAACTACGGGATGCGTACCCGTGCCCTCACGGTAAGTCAATCCTTGAAACGTTTTTCGTCGTTCGTTATGCTGGTCGTTCAGCCCAATGCTGGTTGTTGGAAGGGTGGTAAATTGTTGTGCGGGCAAATTTAGGGGGTTGGGCAGTTGTTGCACATGAACGACCAGAAGGAATCTTGCAAAAATTTTGAGCCGTAGCCAGGGGCATTTGTTCTTTCGGCTGACACACCTCAACCAAGTAGGCCTGCCTTTGCACTTCTTTATTCTGAATCACAAATAATTTCTGGGCCATATTCACCAGCAAATACTTGCAAAACCACCCCAGGGAAACCTGGCGTTCACTCTCTCTCTCTCTCTCTCTCTCTCTCTCTCTCTCTCTCTCTCTCTCTCTCTCTCTCTCTCTCTCTCTCTCTCTCTCTCTCTCGTGCAAAAATGTGAACGACCGGTCCTCACACAACTTCCACCCCGGTTACTACCCTATTTAGAGTGGTCACCCGCCACGCCACCTTGACACAAACGCAACAATCCATTATACCTCGGCCTTAGGGCTGCGAGCTAACACTTCCCTCAATATATTTGGCCAGAATTGCTATGTGCCCCAAGGCATGTGACGACAACTGTAGCCAGAGTTGACTCAAAAAATCCTAAGCCACCAGTTTGTTGGAGGTTCTTACCGGTGCATGTCGGGAGAGCATACCACTAGTGTCTTGTGCAGGCCACTATAAGAAGTTGGAAGCATTAATAGTTGGGAAAGGTACCAGTGGTTGAATTTTTCCTAACTCATGTTTCCGTTCCACTTCGCCTTTGAAATGGCTACACGTGAAGAATGAGTTATTTTTGTGAGTTGCGTGGCGATCCCATGTGCGTTTGGTGAGGATCACGGGGCACCAACTGTCTAGTTGGTGAACAACATGACAAGTTTTATCCCTCGAGTTCAAAAGCCCAAATGCCCTGTACGCCCTTAAGTTTCGAGGGTTGGCCGACGTATGAAAGATAACAGTCCCAAACGAGAGTCGCACGTGGTTAACGGGGACCCCCAATTTTAGCCCCTGACTAACAGGTCCAAAATTTAAATTAGGTTTTGGACCCTTGGATGGGCAAATTTTATGGTTTTTTTTTTTTTTTTTTTTTAATGCCTATTTTTGTTTTGGTTCAAGGTTGTTGTGTACTAAATTTGGTCTCATTTGGAGCATTGGAATTTCCTCTGCTAAGATTTTTGAATTTTTTTAAGATTTTATGAAACTGAACGTTAGCGAAATTTGCATGAAAGTGCACATTGCCTTGCGGTTTTATAGAGGTTTTTTTTTTTTTTTTTTTNTTTTTTTTTTTTTTTTTTTTTTTTTTTTGCAGTTAGTAACTATGGTCTCTACTCTATGACTTGGTGGCAAGGTTGGTTAAAATGAGCCTTGAATTTCGTTATAAATGGTGTGATAAGTTGTCTGGAAATTAGGGTATCCGTTAAATGTCTCTCGCAAGAGTAGGGTGTTGTGGAACGCTACACCCTTGAAACTCAAAGGTCTTCAAGTGGTGTGGAACAAGCCCCTAAGCTGAAGCAAAAGACAAAACAAGGCAACCAAACCAAACAATTGCAGCACCTCGGTTTCAAGTCGAGGAGCTACCAACTTACCTAGATTTTCGGTTCTTGACCATCGATCAACATCATCTAATGTCAAAAGTGCACAATGCAAAATCAACATAGCTTTGGTCCGTCATAAGTCGTCGTCATTGCTATGTGTTCTTTTAAATTACAAATATAGTTATATTGTGAGTACGATTGACAACCTCTAAGCAATTCTTCATTTCGCTCGACTTTCTGATATTGGCGACTGACATCCTGTGACTTTCCTTGGTCTATATTCAATTTGATAATTTGGCCCCACCATCATCACACCATAATAAAGTTAATTCTCTATCATGGTTTAGGAACACTCTCTATACTGTTTAAGGGTCACTGAAATCACAAAGAGATGGAAACATGACAAGCCTAGTGAAATGGGATTTCCAAATGGAATCCGCTTTGGGCAAACCTTATAGCCATGTGGCACAGACGGTTATCGGGTAGCTGAAAATT